AAGCAGGCGAAACGGGAGTGGAGCTGCGGGGTGAGGACGAGCAGGACGAGGACGAGGAGGGGGAGGAGGACGAGGAGGAGCAGGACGAGGAGGGGGAGGAGGACGAGGAGGACGAGGAGGGCGAGGAGGACGAGGAGGGCGGCGGAGACGGAGGCAGACGAGGCGGCTGGGCGGCGGCGGCCGTCTCCCCATTCCAGGTCGGCTTTATCTGCAGACCGGTCACGTGATGCGCCGGTGACGAGACGGAGTGACTGCGGCGGGCGGAGCGGCGCGAGACCACAAGAGAGAGACACCAAGAGACCGTGTGTGTGTCGCGCCCGCACACGGTGGGGTCGCGTGGTGGTGGGTCGCATCCAGTGCGAGCCGGGCAGCGCCCCCCCCCCTCCCCCTCCCCCGGGGGATCCCCCGCGGGGCCATGCTGCTATCTAGTTCGCGTGGGGGATGAACACCGCGGCTGCCGGGCCGGGGCGGTTCTGTCAGGTTCGGCCGGGCGAGGGGGCGGGGGGGCAAACACCCCATAGTATCGTATCGCAAATTATTATGTTTGGGGTCGTTGGAGAGTTGAGATGGCGGCGGCCTAAACGCGTGACATTAGTGTGGGGTTTCATAAAAGCGGGCGGGCTTGCCTACCCAAGGGGCAATGTCGCCTCACGAGCAGAGCGGAGCGGGTAGGCAAACCCGCCCGCACCATACCCCGTGCGGCACGGCACGCGAGTGCACGCGTTTGCCTCCTCTAACTATGGTCAGAGTTCAATTATTGCAACTGGAGCGCCGCAGGAAAAGAAAATTATCCTCTCTCCGTAAAATGATTTATAAATTCAATTTTATTTGCATACCAATAACTTCCAAAAAGACGATGCTGACCAATAACTCAATTGGCACCGCTAGAGATAAATAATTACCCATCATCATTATCGCGGTCGTCTCGTCACCGGTCGTCACCCCACCGACGGCGTCCTGGCTTCCTCCTGATAGTGCGCACCGTGTCGCCAGCCGCCCGTCGACGCGAAGGCCGCGGCCGCCGCCCGGGTGCACGGCGGCGCCGGCCGGCCGGGCGGCGACGATGGTCCGAACCCATTCAGCACCTGACGCTACGGCGTGGCGGGGGGGGGGGCACATTCAAATCACGGCACGGCGCTGCTACTCGGCTGAGATAACCGATAAGCTCGGGGAGGGGAAGGACAGGCCGGACAGGGCAGGCCCGGTGTGCAGGTGCGGGAGCAGCGGTGAGGGAGTGCTGGCAGGTGACCCCGGGGACAAAGCAAGTACCCGGCGGGCAAGTACCCCGGGGGCAGTACCCCGACGGTAGTTCCCCGAGGGCAGTACTTCGACGGTAGTGAGTGTACCCCGGAGGCAGTATCCCGGGGGGGACAGCACCCCGAGGGTACTACCTCTAGGGCCAGAGGTAGTATCCCGAGGGCAGTATTATTTCGAGGGTCGATGGGGGTAGTAACCCGCGGGACAGTACCCCACGACATTCCCCGCCGGCCAGTAGCCCCGCGGCAGTAACTCTCCGCGCGGGCAGTGCGCCTCGTCCAGATCAGAGCGCCGCGTCCTCGCGCACATGTCCTGCCGGTCCTGCCAGGACAACAACCTCACTAACTTATTATTGCCGCGCGCGTCCTGAAAATGTATTCAAGCCCAGCCAGCTCGGCGTCGTGTCTCGGGAGAAAGCACACGAGGTAAACAGAAACAGAGACGGGCCGTGAGCGGCGCGGAGCGATAGCGAGACAGGGACCAGACAGGCGCACACGGGCACACGTGCCTCACGGCCAAACTAGCAATTTTAATTTCCCCGAGAAGGATTTTAAAGAATTTTTTTAAAAAAATCGCTGCATTTTTTTCTTAA